AATATCTTTTAACCAATCAATTGATTTTAAGTATTTCTAATTTGACCTAAAATACTTTTAATTAGTCCTTTATTCTATCTTCTCTAAACCACATATTGTCTTTATGATTTTCAGTTCAATTTTTCGCCTTTGTAAGGTTAATCGGGTGATTGGCCAAATTTAGTTTTGCTCTTAAGTAATACTTTGCTTGTTTTCAACCAAATTTTGTTCAATCTTTTGTTTATTTTCAATCATGGCTAAATTTCACAAATGAAGATTTGGAAAGGACTCAACTACTCACTCTTGTTGCTAACGCTACAAATATAGATGTATCTTTCGAGCTTGCGCAATGAATTTTTTAGGTAAGGCATAGCGTGAGCGGAACTGGTCTCACCTTTTGCTCCTAAGGCTCATCTGCTAGGGGCCTGAAAAATTTGGACGATGACAGCGAAGTCCTTAGGATGTAGTTTTTTTCATAGCGTCCTTTGCTTAGATGGATTTCCTTACAGGGTTAAGGGTTAAACGTGTTCCTTCATCTGCTTGTGTTTGAAGTTGTCCTTTTCCTAGGATAGTTCTCGGGAGGTTAGTGAACCTGTCGTACCAGTGAACATATTTTATCTGATCCTTCAGTTGAGACCTGCTCACAATGCAGGCTCTACCGAATATATATCATCGCTAACATAGCTCACAACCTCATTAGGACATGCAAGATTCTCCCCTGCGACAAAAGGATGTGCGCGGAAAAGGGAGATATTGCACTGAATCATAATTAGTTGTATTATTTATTGATCCATTTGTTCATGTGATTCTACTAATTTTTTGTATTTTCGTTTGGCCATAAATAGTTTTGGATATTAATTCGGTACTATATCCATTAAAATGGTAAACAAGAAGAAAAAAAAGACGAAAACCAATAAAGCTAATAACTTCAAGAGTATTTGAGATTTAGCAATGTTATAAAACAAACGATACAGTAAACAAATCCATTATATAAATATTGAACATTACATGGATTTTATAATCAAATTTTATGAATTTGAATATTCCAAAAATAAATTTACCCAAATATTTAGTTTGATTAAAGGTAAAGGAAAGGAAAAAGAAAAGAACAAGAGAAAGACGATGAATTTAATGAATTAATTCGTTGCACGTATACAAAATTAAATGATGCGAACCTTTTAGGAATTTCGAATTTAATTTTTATTTTATCTCTACATTAATTTATTTGCTCTTAAGTGCAATGATACTTCAGTTTGATTATAAAACTATCATCCTATAATTCATTTTCAAACAAGAAATAAAATTAATACTTTTCATGATAAATTTCATCCATTCATTCTTTCCATCCTCTCTTTACTTCATTATTTATACTTTTAAAATCTTTACAAATAATTAATTATCATGATGAAATACTTATTGTTTGATGGGAGATGACATCCATTAAGTTTTCATATACTAAGTGGTTTTCTTCCTTTTCTTTTTTTTTTTTTTAATTATGGCATTTTTCATTTTCTTTCCGCATTTTCCATACTGACAAACGATACGACGAGAAAGCATAATAAAGTAATGAAAAGTAATTTGAAAAATGCCATTCATTGGAGGTTAAAAATTTTTATGGGAAATTTGAATTCATTAAAAATTAAACAAAATTTAAATTAAAACAATAAATAAGTAAATTAATCGTGCTACTATTAAGAATATTGCTGAATTATTATTAATTAATTTAATATACGATCTTGTTTGACATCACTCACAATTAACTGTTCAAGAATTATTTGTGCAAAATGCAACACTATAAGTGGTAAATGATAAAATGTTATCAATATCATTATTCCTGTAATGAAATGATGCTAATTTGAGTTCTTCCGGAAGAAATATTGATATTTGTTCATCTTTTCGGAAGAAATATTGATTCCTATTTATAAAGAAATTAGCCTCTCTACCAATTATAATTCAAATTTATAGGTAAGTTGATGGAAAATTAATAAAGAAAGGTTAAAGGTAGTAATGAGCTATGGAATATTATGATATCATGTAAGAAAGAAAGTATAACAAACAGTAATAGGATAGGATGTAATTTTGTTACAACATCGAGATATCATACGGTTGAAAAAGAAAAGATTGAAATTTTTTCTTCCTTAAAATTATGTCAAAACTATCACTTGCTGAGATAATTTTGTTTTATCTTTTATCATTGTATTGAGACTTTATCTTCTTCAATCATTATGTTCTGTTTCTTTCATTTTTCTTTCTAGATTATTTCTCTCTCTCTTCTTTCCCTTTTTTTTTCCCTAATTGGTTGGCATGGTGATAAGTTCAGTTCAAGGATTAAATCAAACAGCAGCAAAGTATTTATTTGGAATGTGATTGTGAAAGATTTATTTATCATAAATGATAAAATTGTATTTTCTAATTCTTTTATTACCTTTAAAAATAAATGTTTTTCATTCATAATCCTTTATTCTTTTTCTTTCCTATTTTAAACTAAAATATATTTCATTTCAACTTTTCCCCTTGTATTGTGTTCTGTTTCTTTCATTTTTCAAAAAACATTTTTTGCTAAATTTCATTTTAATTTAATTTAAATCATCAGTAGGTTTGTTGACACTCAATCTTCATTTTTCTTCTCTTTTTTTTTTTCCATTTGAAATTCATTGTATAACAAATGAAAATTTATGCAAGAATGAAAATTGCTCTAGTTTGTCTGTCTTCCATTTAAATTGCAATGTATACTTTTCAATTGAAATGTTTTCCCGTACTTTGGACACACAATATGACAGTAAAACTGATTATGTCAACAATAATGTTAACGATATTTTTTGTTTAATACAATTTTTCAGACTAAAATATTCGTAATATACAAAATAAAAAATGATTGATTAATCAACAATTCTTAAAAAAAAGTGACACCAAATTTTAATATAATATTTCACCGTGTTTGTTTTGTTAATTTATAAATAATTTAAAAAATATTTCAATCTCTTTTTTCCCTCGCTCTCCTTTTCTCTCTCCCTTCCTCTCCCTCTCTCCGTCTTCCTCTGTCCTCTTCAGCACCAATACTGTCAAAGGAGGAATTTGTCCAAAATGAGTGGATATATCATTAAATGATATGTTAAGTAATGATATGATATGTTTATCATCAAGTGATAACATGATAAACAAAGGGATTTGTTTATAAAATTTGGATTTCTTTTTTCTTAATCTTATAATTAATATATTCAAGTATATATTGTTAATTAACAAAGTAATAGTAAAAGTTTGTATAAAGGTCAGGAATACAAAGGAACCTTTCATACTAATGTCATCATAGATTTGTTTGTCTTCCATTTCCAC